ATTCCCCAATGCTGTTCCCCTCCAATTCCCCAATAAAATCTTTCAAAAAAAAGTATTCGTATTAAGATCTTTATCTTTAATCAAATAAAACTGATGAGATAATTATATAACTTTGTTGCTAAGAACTCCCATATTAAAATATGAAAATGTTATTTATAAATTACCTTTTCTTGAAGTGAGGCTTTGTTTTTACCATTCAAATTTCAAATTGCCACTTCGTCAGACAGAATGCAATGGGAATATATCCTTACTTGAATGTTAATATCAGTAGAGCTTTAACTAAAATTTTTACTGTGATTGGGGTGCTGGGGGATAGTATATAAATTAAAACATATGTTCTTTTCAAGATCTAAGTATCCTATTGTTATTTAGCAATATAAACTAGTTCTATAGAGTAATACAGCAAGTGGACATGGAATAGAGCCATAATGAATATTTTTTTGTCTTTTGTTTATTTCTTTTCATTACCACAGACCAGTTGAATTTTCAGAAGCTGATTATCCACAAGTTGAATATCAAAGAAGAGATCAATATTGGGACCCTATTCGGCTAGCTCTTTTCACATTGGCAATTGTAGCAATCATAGGAATTGCAATTGGTATTGTTTCTCATTTTGTAGTTGAGGGTAAGTATCCAGGTCACATTTCTATTGCCTAAGTGCTCCATGACTTAATACTTTGAAATTCTCTGTTGCATAAAAAAATGCCATTTGCATGATATTAACATTTTAATTACTAATCTTTGACTGATGTTAAATTATAGTGTGCTCCAGTGTTGAGCTCTGTGTTACATATTTCCAGACAGTAAAGCTTGCAATATACATTACTACATGGATAGACACATCTAAAAGAAATACATATTTAAAAAGAGAGAGAATGAAAAGATTATCTTTAGAATATAGAGAAACCAAATAATGTGCTGAGTTTAATATACTTTTTATCAAAATCAATAACTTAATGAGTTGCCCCAAGAAAAACTGATAATATGAGAAAAGTTACCTAAAAAAATACTTTTAAAAGGCTAAAGATTAAACTGTATTTTTGAAGGAAAAGAGACTGTTTCATGACTGGGGAAAGAAGAGAAAACTTCAAATTAATTCCATATTGTATGCAAAAATAGACAGCACAGTTACAGCAAATGAAAATCAACCAAGATTCATTTACCTTTGTCTTTGGTATGTGTATTTATAATCACATGTGACTGAGACTTTGCCTAAAATTTTACAGAATCATGACTCCCAACAATAAAGCCATAATTGAAAGACCTCCTAGGAAGAGATGAATATTGTCCAACATGCCCAGCTTTCTCCTACCCACTTTAGTGGGGGATTGATAATATCTATTTCTTAGACTCCCATAAAATAAAAGTATAAACCAAGTTATCCTCTGCAATTGTGTCTTTCTTCTTAATCTCTTCTTTGGGTTAAAAGGTAGTGAAGTAGTTTTGTTTTAAAAATGCCCTCTACCCTTAATGTGACACGTGTTCAAAAAAGAAAAAAGTGAGGGGATAATAAAAACAATGGCAAAAAAGCATTTTAAAATATATCATACAGGTTGTGGTAGGCTGAATAATGCCCCTCACCCAAGGCCTCTATCTCTTAATCCTTACAACCTGTAAATGTTACCT